CTCATGTCATTCCAAATCCACAACTTACTTTCCTCAATGTAAAAAAATGTTTGCGCTGTTTTTTCCAAAGAAATAAAGCGAAGGGGAAAAAACAGCATAATAGTAGTCCACACGATAAATAAGATGATAAAATGCTTGGCCGTTCTTCAAAATTCCTCCTTTTGTGTTCAGTGGAAGAAAGTGAGTCATACGGGTTTAGAACAAGAGTTTCATTCTTTGGTGAATTATTCCTTCAAGTCAAAGATAAAAATTCAAGCTGCTTGTTAACAAAAGAAAGAATTTTTAATCAAGAAAACCTCATTATTAGGCTTTGCCTGGATACAGATTAAATTCCTCCCAGGTTAACCATGAATCCCTGCACGGCCCGATCATGTGAGAGAAGTGGTGTAATGAGAGATGGTTCATGGAGGAGAACGTCTCAGAATTACAATAAACTTGATGACTGTCCAATTCATTCCAAACATAGGGATTTCCAAGTCAATGTCTGTAAGAAAAAGCCAGATTAACTCACCACCAGGGAGACTTTAAACCAGCTGCTGACAGTTTCATGTGCTTTTAAACAAACTCCTCGTCTATTACTGCTAGAACAGAGAAATGGAGGAGGAGGAACCAAACCAGATGTTCCTCAAGAGCTACAAAGGGTAAAGTTCAAAACGGTTTCCATGTGTGTGTCTACCTGTGTTCTCATGCTCCTCTCCTTCCCTTATCCAGCACAAACAGGTGTGTACAGCTCTCACCAATGACATCGCACCAATGAAATCATCTCCAGTGTGTGGAATTGAGAAATGAGGAGCCATTCAACAAAAAGGTTTTCTGGGTAGTTTGCTTATTGGACTCACTCTCAAGTCTATATGATATTCTGGTTAGGGATCTGGTTCTGGACGGAAATGTAAAAGGGGAAAGAAAGTAGCGACAGATCTTTCCTTCCGTATTGTGACTATCCGAATTGAGACTATCTCAAAAGTTGTTCATTTCGATTTTGAGATGTGGGCGTTGCACTCAAAAGTAAATGCACTCTTGCAGTTTATTGTGAATGGTCAGGGTTTAAGGTAAATGACTGAAAGTCTAGCATACATCACCAAAGAGAAGAATGTTGTTTCACCAGAAGATTGAGCTTTCATTTTTATAAAAAATTACAAGGTAAAAAAATAAAAAAATAATACAAATGTATTTAAAAAAAAAAAATTTGACTATTTTCTCTAATTCAAGCAAAAATAACACTAAAAACTAAAAAGTCAATCATTTTAAATATATATATATATATATATATATATATATATATATATATTCATTTGGAGATTTTTTAAAGATTACATTTAACAGTGTTAAATTAAATTACTATGTTTTTAAAGGTTAACTTTAAGCTAGATTATTACATTGACGTTACTTAAATATAAAAATTGGCATGAACTAATTATATTAATATTGATTTATTAAAAAAGCTATAACATTGTCCAATAACCAATATATCACCGACGTATCCCTAATTTTGGTCTCCAGATAAAACTCATGTGCTTCCTTCAGTGAAAATCGATGAAATTTTTCATCCGTTTTATAGTCCGCCAGGCAAAATTCATCTGATCACTTGACAGTAATACCACAAATCTCCTCAACAAGCCACAGCGAGAAATGAATTACGAGTGTATTACTTTCTTCAAATCTCTAACCTTATGTATGAGCAAGAGTAATAGAGAAGTTTGTCTTCAAGCACCACTAATAAATAATAGCATCAATCCACCAGCCATCCAAGTAAATGACTAATATTCCCAGTTAGCCTAAGAGAGTTCTGTGACATCTTTCCACTGAGAACAGCAGTAACTGCAGACCCGTTGGGGAAACTCTGTGACATCAAGATAATAAGATCTCATAGCAAGACAGAGAGCAGAACTACATCAAAGCACAGGAAGGTTTTCCCTGAGGTGCCTAAAATGAAAGGAAGACGGACCCCGTCAAGCTCAGCAAGGGCCGAAGGTCTGACAGTAGCCGAGTGTGTGTGACGTGCAAACATGCATGTGGGCCGAGGTGTATTACACGTCTGTCTTTATGGGGCAGCAGGTGTCAGCATTTTTTTAATGCCCCTGTCAGAGAGGATTGTGGGAAGAATGGACAGCATTACACAAGCACTGCCACAGGTACCAGAAATAAAAGAGGTGGCTACGGTGTCAACGGCAGTTAAATTTGAATAACGTGCAATCAGTCCCCAGCAGCTGTTTACCGGTGTAGGCGTACAACGCCTGTTTACATTGCCGTGGGATCAGTTTAGTTGTTGAGACTGGGATTGCGGATGGGGGAGGTTGACTGAAACAATGTAAAAAGCAGCTGCAAGACTTTCCACATGGAAATGAGGACACCAGCAACTCACTGCAGAATGATGATGGCAGAGTTCGAAGCCAATATAGCATTTCACTGACAAACAACTTCTACGAACACTTAAGCTAGGATAGAGTATCCAATGAACCAAAGCGAGCTGCAATAAAGATTAAGCGACAATTACAGTATAATAGCTTCTTGGAGAGATGAAACATCTCTCTCTTTGACAGGAACATGGGTAGATCTAACTAATGACTAACCACTGAAAGCTCCTGCCAACTCTATCTGGAGTGTAAACAGATCAATTTAGTGCTGAGGTGCATGCCGTGGGGTCTGTGGACTCCTCGCTACGCACTTTCACATACTAGACTATTGTTCAAAAGCATGTAAACACAGTATCATCTGTGTCAACACAGTCAGATATTAAAGGGGTCATATGATGCGATTTCAAGTTTTCCTTTCTCTTTGGAGTGTTACAAGCTGATTGTGCATAGATAAGATCCCTGAAGTTGCAAAGACTAAAGTCTCAAAACCAAAGAGATATTCTTTATCAAAGTTAAGACTCTGCCACACCCCCCTAAAACGGCTCGTTCTAACACGCCCCACATATCTACCTCACTATGTGGAAATATTAGCATAATGCGCCCAAATGTTCACGCAAAGAAAGAAGGCGTGGTTTCAGTAACCGCAGTTAGTGTTGAAGCAGCCATGTCAGGGAGAAGCTGTGTGTTTCTAGGCGAAAGCAAAAGCACTTTATTTGGCCTTCCGGAAGTAGATGCATTTAGGAATCTTTAAGATTACTTACAACAGAACAGCAATGCATTTTATGGACGACCGTTTCGTGAACCTAGGAGAGGAGGTAATTCTGACTTTGCTATGACAATCTGGCGCTTCTGAATCAGCTACTGTTTTGTTATTAGTTTAAGTATTTGCTATTGACTGTTCAAATGCGGAGTTTTGCGCATCGTGTGTGTGTGTGTGCGTGTGTGTGTGTGTGCGAGCGAGAGAGAGAGCGCGAGAGAGCGAGAGAGCGAGAGCGCGAGACGGTCACATCAAAGTGGAGTCAGCTGTCTTAACCGCGGCTTGTGTACTGCAAACACATACCAGCTTCATCACTGTGTCTGTCACACGACTCTGTTCCCCTTTCGGGCTCTGTCTTTACATTTATTTTGAAAGATGAAGCTCGCGATTATGGTAAGGGGCGTTACATTTCCGACGAGTGCTTGCGGTGTTCGGCCAATCACAATGCACTGGGTCAGCTGGCCAATCAGAGCAGACTGCGCTTGTCAAAGGAAGGGGGCTTTGTAGAAAACGAAGCGTTTGAGAGAGGCGGGGCATAGAGGACCTACAATAATGTACAGTATTTGAAAAATAATGTGTTTTTTGAACATTAAAGCATGTCAACATATTCTGTTACACCAAATACACAAAATAATGATCTTTAAAAAAGCATCATATGACCCCTTTAATGGAAACTTCATCATGAAGGTCATCTTTATGAGTTCAAGGATGCCAAGTCTGTACGTTTTGGAGGTTTTTCATTATCTGAAATTGTGGTAGTGGCCGATCTTTTCTTCTGTATTATGATGTACATTTGAGTGAAACAGACTATTAAAAAAAAAAAATGTAGACCAGGACTTGGAGGCAGATATGAATGCGAGCCTGCAGTCGATTGTAAGAAAGTTTAAGTGGAATAAATGATTGGAGAAGTCCAGAATACGTCAGAGAGATGTCTGTCGTTTAAATGGAAGATTGGGTTTTGACATTTTGATTAAAATTATGAGGTAAATAAAAAAAAATGAAGCATTCATAATAAGATCTATAACATGCGTATAGAAAATAAATTGGGCGAATTTTCATTTCATGCCGACTTAAGTAATGGTGCATATATTTTGATGTCACAAACATGACATGTTGACTCTGTCACTCAAATTGTAAAGATATGGTTTTAGATAATTGAACGAACAATCCAGAAAAACAAATGGCATCTGCATTTAATTAATGTTTGATGTGGAAAATATGGTTATATTGTCAATACTGTCATCTGATTTTCTTGTCTAATGGTTTGTGTCAAGTCAACAGATGGAGTTGAAAATGATTTTTAATTTTAAATAATAGAGTTTTTATAATAATAATAATAATAATTATGTACAATTTAACATTTTAATATTTAATGGTATAATATTGTTTTACTACACTTTTGACATTACATGTCAAAATCTGACAGTGTTGACACGGCAAGAAAAAAAGCATTTTGTGAAAGAAAAAAAAACCTGTTTAACAGATTAAACAAAATCAATTCCTTGGCATATGAAGTTGTTTTAAGCCCTATATTCTGTGTTGTCCCAGTGAAAAATCTAACAGTATGAGAAAAGTTCATCTGGGTTGACTGAAGTAGTGCAAAAGCAAAACCAAAAGCATTAAACTGCTCATAAAAGTATTTTACGACTCTGGGTTATTTTATGGAGGGGCCAACTTCTTAAACACATGTTAAACCTTAACTCAGATCAAGACAAAAGAGTTCAAGCACACACAATGTTTAAACAATGTACTCACTGTGTATCCAGTGCAACAGCATCATAACAACAACAAAGCAAAAGGCAGCGTATTATAAACTAAACAGCTCACATACACGTTGAGCAGACATAATTATCGGTGTGAAATGCACATTTATCAGAAAACAAACTCACCAACTGAAACGTGCACAGAAATATAAGGGTGCACCGTCCGCTGCAGCAGCCCATTGTGTTAAAGCTTGATAATGAGATCCTTATTATATGAGTCTATCAGCAGAAAGTCCTAAACAAACACAGAGAAGCGCGTCAGTCTCTGTCCGACACAAAGCGGCTCCGTTCCCATTGTTTCCAGCGGCGCTTCAGTGAAACACTCGCGGCAGTGTGAAGCTGATCTCGGGCTGCGAGTGTCGCGGGAGGAGCGTGTGAGAGTCGGGGGTGTATGTAAATCACAATGGATTCTTCTCACATACACGGACACAGGCTGCGTGAGTAAACGTGTGTTGTCCATTCGAACCCAAGAAAAAGCGGAAAAATTACCCAAGAGCCACAGCATTCCTGAAAATAGAATTTTAAACCAAGCAAGGGCTGGTTGTCTGGTTTAATCTGGTTTCACAGACTGGCCAGTCAGCTGCTTGGCCAATTGATATCATTGCCTGACCAACTGGAAAGTGCCCAAACCCCTCTAAATCCAGCATACATAGCCAAGCCCACCTTAGACTAGCAAACACGCATAGAAACCATATCCAGAGACCACATCCCTGTCGAAACAAACAAAAACATAAACGATGCTGGTCTTATCTGGTTTAAGATACCCCTCTAAAACCAGCCTTCATAACCAGGCCTGGAGACCACCTTAGACCAGCAAACAAGCATAGAAACCATATCCACAGACCACTGCTAAAAACAAACAAAAACATAAACCAGCCTACAATGATGCGCTGGTCTTAGCTGGTTTACCTTAGCTGAAAGTGCCTAAACCCCTCTCAATCCAGCCTACATAACCAGGCTGAGAGACCACCTAAGACCAGGAAACAAGCTTAGAAACCATATCAGAGCCCACATCCATGCTATTAAAAAAACAAACAAACAAAAAAACTGTAAACCAGCCTAAGACGGTGTGCTGGTCTTAGATGGTTTAAGATGGTCTCCCAGGCTATTCAGCTAAAAAAAATGTCCAGTAAAACCGACTGGTCCCCCTTAAGACCAGCGAAGACTATTAAACCAGTTTAGACAGTCAACACAATGGTTGTCAGTTTTACAGTCTAACAAATAAAACAGCATTAGGCATATTAGCAGGGGTTTACAGAATATGTGATCATATTTTATTATTATTTATTTGTTTATTAATTTCTTTGACAGTGATGGTGAACACCATGCTCCCACAGCAGTAACTACAGGATAAAATATAACTGATTAATTTTTTTTTTTTTTTTTTTTTCTTATCGTGTGTGGAGTGATAAATAGCTTTGGCTGAGATATTTTACCGTCACGAACGTTGGAATGCAGTTTGTATCTACAGTTAGATGTGATTTAAAGCGTGTACTCTGTGATTTTTAGTTTGAAGCAACTAATGTTCGCCTCATTGAAGTCTATTATCAAATTCAAGGCGCCATCTGCTGGTCGCGTATCAAAACTACACCCAACCTCATTTTTTGAGATGTAAACTGGTGTAAATTGGTGTTATTTGTCACTTCATTTTTCACACTAAAATAACAAACACAGTTATCTTTCAACACACTTGTTAGCATAATATTTTCCTCACTCATTTTACTGTTTATAAGTTTGTTTGTTTGTTTTTTGGTTGACATTTAAATCTACTGTATGAAAATGAGTTAGTAGACAAATAAATGAGGAAATGCAGTCAGTGCAGAGCATAATGCAGGATTTATTCTTTGCTGATTTGACTGGTCTAATTTTCTGTTGCAGTTATGCACATACAATGGAGGACTATGGGGCAATGTACATAATGACAAACATAACATTTTTATCAATTCAACTACTTTAAATGTTCAGTCTGTTCAGAGAGACACTGTATTGACTTTACTGAAATGTTCAACTGCCTAAAGCTATATTGCTCTTTTCCCCTTCATATTCATATCCATAATTACTGACATGATAAACAAGGACCTCCATTGCCAAACCTATGTAAATAACACACATATATTAATGATGAAGTTGATGTTGATAATATCACTTGTTCTTTGCTAACCCTTGTCTTCTATCATTGACAGCTGTGGCTCTGTCTGTGCTGATCCATTATAGAAAAGCAGTTAAAAGCGGTTCCTCCACCGTGCTGCTCGGCTCCCTCCTCTCTGAACAGGAAGAAGAGTGATGAATCTTTTACAGGTTGAGCCTGTGTTGCCATGGAACACTTCACTTCTCATTACATCACTGTAGCCTCTGCTTCCTCTCTTAAAAGCTTCCCTCTTTTCTGTCACACACACACACACACACACACACACTGCTATAAATAGTTTTTGGTGATATTTTTAGATGAGAGAACTGCAGATACTTTTCTTTGAAGAACATTATTCTTCTGTAAATATTTAATTTGTAAAAGATTTTTTAATAATTTTGGCTTGCAAAATTTTATGAGACATTTGTGCACTTTGTTTGTTTGTTATCATTTTTTTTTTTCAGTTGTATTAGTTTATTTTGTTTTGTATTGCTTTTGTTTTTATTGAAAACATCATTCTCTTGTAAATATTTAAGTTTAATGTACAAAGATTATTTAAGAATATTAACAATGACTTGCAAAATTTGATAAGACATCTGTGCACTATTATTTATTTGTTTGCTTGTTTGTTTTAGTATGTTTTCATTGAAGAATATTCTTTGGTAAGTACATTATTTAATAAAATTAACAATGTTTTGCAAAATTTGATGAGATATTTGTACACATTATTTGTTTATTTTATGTATTTGTCTGTTTCTTTGTTATCATATTGTATTTATTTCAGTTTTATTAATTCATTTGATTAATTTTTGTTTTGTTTTAGTTTTTTTTCTTTAAAAATATTCCTTTGTAAATATTTAATTTTAATGTACAAAGATTATTCATTTTAACAATGGCTTGCAAAATTTGGTGAGACATTTGTGCTTTATTCATTTATGTATTAATTTGTTTGTTATCATTTTTGTTATCATTGTTTATTTCTAAGTTTATTTGTTTTCTTTGAAGAACACTACTCTTTTAAATAATTAATTTTAATGTACAAAGATTGTTTAATAATATTAATAATGACTTGCAAATTTTGATGAGACGTTTGTGCTTTATTTGTTTATTTGTTTGTTTGTTCATTCATTTTTATTTATTTACATTTTATTTATAAATTTTTGGTTTGTTGTAGTATGTTTTTCTATTCTTTTGTGAAGTGATTTGTTAGCTTTACTTTCAAACAACTCAGCATTGCACAGCTTCTTGCTTGCTTGCTCTTCTGGTCCCCATGATGTAGGTAAAACATGACCCACACAAACACCAGCAATGGAAAGAAGGTCACACTGGGCTTTATCAGTAGGAGTGTCTGATGGGATCCTAGGGGTCTACTTCTCATCACCTCCCTCCAGTTAAAGTCTGTTGGTGTGCATTCTTCTAAAAGGAGGGTCAGGCCTTTGTATTGTACACTTTTCAAACCGCAAGACCTAATGCAGACTGACAGGCCAGTTAGCAGACGAGACCTGTGCTATGAGCCAGACGTAAATAAGGACCACAATCAGACTCCAACAAAGACGGAGGAGTATGAAACCTGCCTACACACACACACACACACACACGAGAGCACTCAGAGAAAGTGAGTTCCTCATTGATTCTTTTGGGGTAGACCCACAGTCATAAAAGACCTCTGATACAGTAAGTGTTGACTATATCTGGGCCAACTCTAAACACACCCATGTCTATTTTAGTGGATGTTGCCCAAATATAAATCACCACTATCTGTGCATTAAAAAAAAAAAATTATATATATATATAAATTATTATTATTATTATTATATATATTATAAATTATTATTTTAAATAAGCAAGAGAATCTGAAATAATCCAGAGGAAATAAAATAAAAATTATAAAAAATAAAATAAATAACACATTTTTAAAGCCATTTAGGTAAAACTTTAAGTATTAATACATCACGACAACAAAAACAATTTGTAGTTACAAGCTGCTTCAGAAAATAAGCACATTGCTCATTAGTCTTACCCACTTACTTGTACTGATTAATGCTGTAATTACATCAAAGCATGAACACTTATGTAAAGTGTGGCAGCTATTATTTGATTAAAACTATTGATTTTTACAGTGCACATTACAAGAAAGGGTTATATAGTCCAGTGGAGGCAGTACAATACAATACAACTTTATTAACCCCAGAGGTGCAATTTGGTTTCAGGAATACAGAACACTGAAGCAGACACTGAGACACACAAGTGAAGAGCTAAAAGCCATATGGTAAGAGTAAGAGAGATCATTATTAAAAAATAAAATAATGTCCCATTAAATATACAGTGTTATGTACAATGAGATATAATATTTAATATTAGAGACATAATATTTAATTCAATGTTAAATATGCAATAATGTAAAGAGGAACGACAACCAGAACCAGAATAAGGTCAAATATAGGCAATAAGTGTTATGTTCAAAAGTTCTGGTCCTCAAATTCTGTCTGAATAGTCAGCCTGTATTAGTGGCGGGATCGTTTCAAACCGCAAGATCTAATGCAGACTGACAGGCCAGTTAGCAGACGAGACCTGTGCTATGAGCCAGACGTAAATAAGGACCACAATCAGACTCCAACAAAGACGGAGGAGTATGAAACCTGCCTACACACACACACACACACACACGAGAGCACTCAGAGAAAGTGAGTTCCTCATTGATTCTTTTGGGGTAGACCCACAGTCATAAAAGACCTCTGATACAGTAAGTGTTGACTATATCTGGGCCAACTCTAAACACACCCATGTCTATTTTAGTGGATGTTGCCCAAATATAAATCACCACTATCTGTGCATTAAAAAAAAAAAATTATATATATATATAAACTATT